TTGACTAAATCACTTCTGTTTTTTGCTCAACAGGTTAGAGTAAGAAATACTAATTAGATGTTACTCCTTTCCCACTACTAGACCGTAATTACTTTGAACCCAGCAATGCAAAACAATGGTGGTTCTCACTGTTCGGTGGTTTTCTTCCTTTTTTAACTTGCCAGACCTAAGTCTGGGTGATTTTTATGAAAGTCGTAGATGACACAGCAGAACATCAGTAACCAATAAGTACTTTGGTCCTAACAGCAGGGAGTGGCCCAGAGACAGTAAAGGAAAAGGTGAAGGTGCAGCTTTGCCCCGGCTATGCAGGGAGCTGTCACGGCTAAAGATCTCATCATTCCAACAGTCCGTTCTCAACAACTTTTTAGAAAGCAGCCTCCTCTAGGAATAGTGGAAGAAGGGTCTGTTTAACAGTGAGGTTTTTTGAAAAGTACGGTTGTAAAACCTCCGTGATACTGACACGAATAAGCAGTCCTTTAGAAACTACAGCGTGGAGAGGAGATGGGGGCGGGGGAGGCGGGACAGATAAACAGCGGCCGGATTGTGTCGGATGGAGAGACATCCCCGACCGGTGGGGCCCGGGTGCGAGCCGAGAGCGGGCAGCGGGGCCGAGGATGCGCAGACGGGCCGTGGAAGGGACAGCCCGGCCCAGGGCGCTCACCTCGGGCGAAGCTTCGCGGCCAGAGCCCGGCCGAGGCGAGGGGGTGCCCCACGCCTGCGAGAAGGCCGCGTCCTGTCGCACCCCGCCCATCCCCGGTGCTGGCAAGAAACAGGGCAGGGAAGGAAAGCAGGAAGAAGTCCTAACAGAGACGCGAGTCCCAAAGCAACAAGTGTCCGCGGCGGCTCCCAAAGACACTGCGGGGCTGGAGCAGGAAAACAAGGCCCGGCGCGGCGGCCTCCTGGCCTTCGCTCTCTCAGCCCCTACCCCAGCGCACTCACTCTGCCACACGACGCTCTTCAGCCCCCTCTCGGTCACCGGCGGCGCCATCTTCCCAACACTGCGGAAGAGCAGCCGCCGCCTCCCACGCCCAGCCTCCCTCGGCCGTGCCGGCGGCGCTCGGGGTGGCCCCGCCCCCTCCCACGGGCCTCGCCCTCTGGAGGCGTCGGGCGCGTCAGCAGGGGGATTTCCGCCCAGCCCTGGGCGGAGGCTGCGCAGTGCGGGCGGAATGACCGTGGGCAGTCGGGCGCCCCCTCGCGGGCGGCTGCTGTTGCCCGAGGTTCGTCGTCCTGCGGTGTAGGAAAGCAAAGATGTGCCAACGGATTGCGAGCAAACACGGTGTCTGAAAATCCGAATTCACGCATACATACGCGAAGAAGGGGAAATCCTTCGCTTTACAGAAGAATTACTCACTTTGCGAAAGGTTCGTGATAGACTTCACTCAGTAGCCAGCTCAACTACCGAATGAAAAATTTACTTCCCCCGAAAAAAGTTTATTTTATTCGTTTTTAAAGGACGAAAATATTAATAATTGTGTAGAACTATGAAGTACCCTCCACTGTGCCCAGAACTGTGCTGGACTTTCAGGAAACTCAAAGAAAGGAGAGACCTAGTACTTACCCTGAAGAATTATAATCGATTTAGGACCACAATTCCTGGCATGCTGTACGTAGGCAATTAAAAGTTGGTTGAAAAACTGAATACCTTAATGATACAATATACATAAATGAACCAATAAAACAATAATCATTTATTCAACAAATCTCTGCAACAAGTGTAGGGAGCGGCTGTCAATGCGTTAGAATCCAAAATTATTGTTGAAAGCTGATCACAGAGGAGGATATCTGAACTTAGAAAGTTTAGGCAGAAATCTGTTTACTGAGATGGGCCTTTGGGACTTGAAATCAACCTAAAGAATCATGAATTAGTTGAGTTCAATTGTTGAGAGCCCTGACTGACATAACCATCATGACACTGGCAGAAAGTAGGCTTTCCCAGCGGGACTTGCAAGGAATCGGTGGCTGGTTATAAAGATTCATGTTGGGTCGGGTGCGGTGGCTCACGCCTGTAATCCTAGCACTCTGGGAGGCCGAGGCGGGCGGATTGTTTGAGCTCAGGAGTTCGAAACCAGCCTGAGCAAGAGCAAGACCCTGTCTCTACCAAAAATAGAAAGAAATTAATTGGACAGCTAAAAATACATAGAAAAAAAAATTAGCCGGGCATGGTGGCGCATGCCTGTAGTCCCAGCTACTCGGGAGGCTGAGGCAGGAGGATCGCTTGAGCCCAGGAGTTTGAGGTTGCTGTGAGCTGGGCTGATGCCACGGCACTCTAGCCCAGGCAACACAGCGAGACTCTGTCTCAAAAAAAAAAAAAAAAAGATTCATGTTGGTCATACAGGGAGTGGAAATGGTTAGTTACTACTACTACTAATGTCTAATAATTACCGAGTGCTTGCTATATGCCAGACACTCTACTAAGTAGATTACCTCATTGATCCTCAAAGCGACACTTACAGACAAGAAAACTGAGGCTTGGTGAAGTTAGGCAACTTGCCAAGGATACACAGCTAGTGGTGGAGTGGGAACAAGGATCCAGCTTGGGCTACACAGAAAGCAATAGAGCAGTCTGAGGGATAACCTGCAATTTCTAGGAGAGAAAAGGAGAATGAAGAATGAAACAGTCATAAAATGGGTTCAGGCACAGCCTATGGCATGAATGGTTTTTCTGTTCAAGGCTTATATAGGAATGGAAGCTGGAGCCCTGGCCTCCTTTAAACCTACTCTAAATGGATTCAGTTGCTCAAAATTTTAAACAAATGTGCACATTATTTCCCTCTCCCTTCTCAGTTTTAAATCAGATTCTGCTTAGGATAGTAGGATGGAGCCCCAATCCATAAGAAAAACATATGAAGTGTAGACTCACCCTTCTAAAGTGAGCCCCTCGCCCTGGAGGGTCAAACCAAGAGAGAAGAGTGAGGTGGGTGAGGTGTCTCCATCTCTTACCCTTGAGGGGAATGACCAAGCGCCACAGAATGACCCAAAAAGGGCCTTCTGGGTTGGGAGTTTGACTTTGGTCATATAGAGTGAAGCTGTGGCTGGTGCTCCTCAAGGCCAGATTCCAGGGTGGCCCTGTGGAATAGTGGAGCAAGTATTGGCTTTTGCTGCACACAGGTCCACCTCCTGCACATCCTGGCTCTCCCTCTTACTCGCAATGTGACGCTAAACACCTCAGTTTCATTGTACTTGTGTGCTGAATATGAGTATATTATCTCAAATCTCACAACAACCCAGCAAGACGTCTGTTGCCATTTTACAGATGAGAAAACTGAGGCTAGAGAGGTTAAATAAATCATGTAAAATCTCATTATGAGCTAGGATCTGAACCCATCTGGCTCCAAGACCACTGCCCTCTCCATTGTATCATATTACCTCTCCTCCCGTGCCCCCTTAGTTTTGCATAACCTTCCTGAGCTGTTTCTCTAAGTCTCCTTTAGTTTGCTTTTTAACAAATTGAAAAATGAATTTGGATTCCCTAAACATGACGCAGCAGAATGGAAGGTAAAATCTAGCAACACTGGCCAGAGATGAAAAGCTGCTTTGTATAGTTCACAGAGCAGATAGCCAAAACAGCCGAGGGCTGAATGTGCAAGCACCTGAGTTAGGGCAGATCACTCACCCACAAAACCCTTCCCACGTCCTCTTCACTAATAATTGCTGACTTAGTGATAATCTAGGGAAATAATCTCCATAAAGCTATCACAGATTAGCAGGTCTAATCAATGCTACTTGCTTGACTCCCTGAAAATTTGTGTTTGAACTGGTTAGCTGTGTGAACGTGGTGGAGCTACATGACCTTTCTGAGTCTCTTTGTCCCTCATCTGTATAAAGGGGATAACGTTATTACCTAGCTTATAGGGTTGTTATGAGAGTACAATGAATATTTGGGAAGCACTTAGAGGCACGTAGTGTGTACTGTATATGTGTTAAATAAACTGGTTTTATCTTCACCCAGTGTGGCTCGCATTGTCTTCTATGGAATTCTGACCAAAGAGCTCAGCCTTAGATCCCTAGCTAAGCAGATGTCCATTTCATTTCTGCCCTGGTATTTGTAGGGTATGAGTATACTGGTCCCAGCCCCCTGGTTCCCTAGGGCCAGTGATCCTGGCCCTCCATCTGGCCTTCACCCTGGGCTCTTTGCCTATTCCAGTCAGCCCTGAACACAACTCTACTCAGCAGGCACCCTGACAGCAACTGGGCTCGGTACACAGTCTCACATAGGCTCTGGACCACAGCCCAGAACGCAGCCCCAGCCCCAGGTATATACCATGGTTGCCCTCACAGGCATGGACCTGCTCTGCACCCTCCAGATTTCACCAGTATTTCCTCTCAGGCCACAAGCCTCCATCTTCTCAGCTTCCCACCACCGAAATCTGGCTTCAAGGAAGAGCTCACCAAGGCAAGCCTTTAAAGTTTCCAAACCTGGCCCCATGTCAGAATCACCTGGTGAGCTTGTTAAAAATACAGCTTCCCAGGCCAGTACCAGACCTACTGAATTCGAATCTCCAGCAGTGATACCTGGGAATCTTTATAAGTAATGAGTTCCCCAAGTGATGCTGATGCACCTAGCTTAACTCCTGTTCACTCACTGGTGTGTAGGAACAGAAGTGAACTAAACTCAACCTTCCTCCATGTGTGTTCTCTGATGCTTCGAACTCCATTTTTAGAGATCTATGCCTTTGGCTCGTTTCCTTTTTGAGTGCAGATGCTCTGGGGAGGATCTCTGATCAGTCTTACAGAGAAAACGTACCACCTCTCTTGGAGCACACCTTATGGGAGGTTGAGGAGACATAGAAAGGGAAGTCTGCCCTCCCTTCCGTGCTGAGCTCAAGCCTAACTCCATGCTCCAATTCCCTGTGGGCAGTTCCCAACTACAGACATTCTTGGCCCCATAGCCATGCATTTGGGGAGTGAGCAATGCAGCTGTGTGCGTGTGTGTTACATGAGTCCTACTTGCACTATTTTTAAAAATTAGATTACTGGCATTAGAAGGACAGACATTTTTCTAGATACAACAGATTTATGTTATATATTATTGCCTTTCTTCTCCAAAGATCAAAAAAGCAGTTCAGTGGGATGGGAGACACAGCCAATAAGATGGATGGTCCTCCCCCAAAAAGATGCGCATATGTCAGTCTGCCACAGTTCGAGGCTCTGCCAGTGGCTGCCCTCCATCCGGCGCCTTTGCTCATTCAGAAGCGCAGCTGCAATCCTTCTAGCAACAGGCCAGCCGCTCTGCTTTTCCGGATGCTCTCTCAAGAATGTCACATCACTTGATGCTTTGGCTCAGCAAACCAGCAAGTAGCTCAGCTTCCCTTCTAACTGCAATGGGGGCGTTTGTTACCATGGGTTGCCCTGGAAGCTGCTGCTATCCAACCTGTGCTGAAGTCCTGGTGGCGGCGTGTCCTGGGGTGAGCCTTGTCTCTGTGTAGGCGGCTTGCCTTCTCTGGGTGCGAACATCTCCAGCCCCTGAATGGCTAGGGGGCTGCATGGCAAGTGCTGGTGTTGATGAAACACTCACAAAGTGTGTGATGTGTCTGGATGTGAAATCTCAGAAGAATTTCTGCTAAGTAAACCTTTCATGTTTTTAGGGTTCTCGCAGTGTGCTGGCTCACTCTGGTAGCCTTCCAGAGAACTTTCTGGATCCATGACCCTAGAGTCCTCACCACAGAAGATCTTGAACTCCTGTGTGGCTAAGGACACACCTGACCTTGCCCTCAGGAAGCAGAGTCAGAGTTGTTCTTCTAAAGGTAAAAGGAGCTTTTCCTATCCTAGAAAAATTCTGTATTCTAATAGATCTTTCCCAATTCTAATCACTAACAGTTGAGACCACTCTGCAAAAGAAATGGAAAGAATTTTTAAAACAAAGACAAAAAACTCTGCCGTAGAATCACACAAAATCAATTTACACTACTCACTTGGTCAGGTGTCTGTTTTTATCCAGGGCTCCCTGGGTCATTCTGGATTTCTCTTCCCTCTGTAAATCACTGAAAAGGATGAGGAACGGAAGAGGCAGAAAGATGCATTAAATATGCAGACATCTTCTTAAATGAAAAAGTACAAATGCCTCAGATTTCATTAGTATTTTGTTTTGAAATGCTATTTTGCAGCATTTCACGATAAGTAAGCAGGATACTAAGACAATCTAAACTGTTTAAGGGGCAGACTGTTTAAACTGACCAGCAGTTTCTAACTGAACAGGGTGATCTCTCTCCTGCTTCATGAAGTGAATCCTCTTTAAGCTCAGACTAGTGACTCAGAACAAGGAATTTTTCTTTCTACCCCCAGGCCAACTTGCTGTGTTCCTCAGGGAACTCCAAAATTTTATTGATTCAGGGAGTTGTATAGGGAGAACATAAACCTGTTCAACTGCTAAGTATGTTGAGGAGAGGAAACTTCCTCGAAGTTCCCCAGGATGTGCAAGTGACAGGGAAACATGCTGGATCCTGAAGATGGAGGACCCGCCATGGAGTGATGTCAAGCATAAACCCCTCCTGTCTACCTCTCGTTAGAGCCCTGTCACTTCCAAGAGATTGTTTTCCTCTCCCTCCCAGCCTACATGAGTTTTCCGGCATCAAAGTAGCTTTCTTGAATTAAAGATGTGGTTTTCAAACCTTAGCATGCATCAGACTTGCTTGTAGGGGCTTGTTAAAACAAAGATGGCTGGGCCCTAGCCTCAGAATTTCTGATTCAGTAGGTCTGGGTAGAACCCCAGAAACTGCATTTCTAAGAGGTTCCCAAAAGAAGCTGATGCTGTTAGCCTCAGGACCACACTTTGAAAACCCATGAATTAGGGTATTATGAGGACTAGGGTTAAAATGTCTTAGTTAGAAGTAGCACATTAAAATGTTAATAACTGGTACATAATAGAATATGATATGAGCTTAAACTTATCCTGAATAATAGCTACCATTTATTAAGTACTATGGACCTATCATTTTGTCCAATAATTTATATCTCATTTAATCCTAATTATCTTTTATGCAGTGATTATTATTTATTCCAATTTTCAGATGAGGAAATCTAGGCTTAGAAAGAATTGATGCAACCTAAGGACAAGTAATAATGGCAGGATTTGAATCCTGATCTGACTCTTAAAAAGTCCATTCACACTGGTGAAAAGCTTTAGGATAATCCAAGAGTCAAAGAAGACCCAAAGTTTTAGACCAACGAGATTCCCAAAGCTCTCCTTGGCATGTTCAAAGCCTCCATGTTAGCCAAGGACCTGATTGACTTGCCCTGTGTACAGGGAGGAGAAATGCTGAAATTGAAAACAGCAATTTAGAATTTCCCCCTAGATATAATGATTTCCAGATGACTGCAGAGACCCTCAAATAACCGGGCTTACTCTTGTGTCTTGAGGGTCTTGCAGGATTTCTATAAGGATCTATGGATCTGTAATACTTTAAGAGAGTGGCAGACGTCAGGCTGAAGACTGAGCCTTGCTAAGGAGGAGAAGAGCCAGGATAAGCTGCAGCCCAAAGGGACAGAAAAGAGGAGACCATTCACCTAGAGCAGTGCTCCTCAAATTCCACGTGTATCAGAATCACCTGGGAACCTGATGAACACACAGAGGCACTTCTCTGGGATAGGGCCTGGGCCTCCGCATTCATTATTAGCTGTCCAGGAGATTCCGATACATGGCAAAGTTAGAGAACAGTACCCAGGCAGTGCTTCTCAGGCTTGGATACACTTACGAATCAGCTGGGGATTTAGTAGGTCAGGGTGGGGCCTGAGATTATACATTTCTAACACGCTCTCTGGGGACGCTGATAAGTGAAAGTAGCAAGGTCTAAGAGTAACAGTTTTTAAGTTTTTTTTTCTTAAAGCATTGCAACTCTCTTTCTTTTTTTTTTTTCTGTTCTTAACGCCCCTCCCCTGCAACTCTTTCTTTAACAAAATCTTAGGGAAGGCCAATATATAACACACCACTCCTCTCCTCCTCTCCCCTCCATGACTCAGGGGAATACTGATTAAAAACCACCACAATACTAGAAATAGGTTCTAAGAATACAGACCTAGGCCCATGTACCTTTCACTGAAGACCAAGGCTTATGGTTACTAGTACTTTGGGAGATTTTTTAAAGCAATTTTTTATGATTAGAAGTTTGCTCCCAGTTTGTTTTCAATAAGCCAGATCTGTTTACCTATAGTCATGAGAAACCAAAACTCTTGAAAAATTAATAGGGATTGTGCTTATTTCAGACGCACAGGTGGGGCAGGAATTGGAAAGCATGTGTCCTGCTGTGCTCAGAGAAGCAACGGACAGGGAGAGGAAAGGAGCCCAGGCAGAGCACAGGCAGTGGAGAGAGACTCCAGACCTAGTCGATCCCTACCAGGGGAAGGAGGTGGTACATGGGGAGCTGGCCCCACCTGGGAGGCTGTCTGGTGGGGTTTACTGGCAGGAAGCCTTCATTCCCACTCACACCCTCTGAAGTCAGCCATGTCTGACTGTGGCGGGAGGGAGAGTTCTGTAGTTTGGGATATCAAACTACAAACTTGGGAAATATGCCGGGGCTCTTCCTAGGGCCCCAAAGCAAGCTGTCTCCTAGAAGACTGTGGCAAGGATCCCTCTTGAAGCAGCGTGTGCTACTTACTGGATCAGCACTCATGGCTCTGTGTGTTCATCCCCACTGCCCTGCCCAAGAAGTAATCTCCTTGGGGGCAACCAAAATAGCCTAGACAAGATCAGCCCAGAGCAAAACCGAGGAGTCAGTAAAGGTTATCTTCACTCCAACTCCCCTTTTTCAGAACCCCTTTTTCCCCCAGGGCAAACCCATCCAGGCAAACCAGAAGCAAACATCCTAGCCGGCTATTCACAGATTCCCTCCCAGCCTGGCTACTGCGGGTGTGGTCAGACCAGCAGCAGCAGCACCACTGGTATCACCTGGACCTTGTTGGAAACACAGAGTCTCAGACCGGACCTAACAAATCAGAATCTGGCTTTAACAAGGCCCCAGGTGATCTACATGCATAGTGAAGTTTAAGAAGCCCTGCTCTAAAGGAGCAGTTCTTAGCCTTGGCTATACTTTAGAATCATCTGAGGAACTTTCAAAAATCTTGATGCCCAGCCTTCACTCCAGACCAATTAAATCAGACTTTCTGGGGACAGAGCCAAGTCATCAGTTAATTTTAAGTTCTCCAGGTGATTCCAATGTGTAGCCAGGCTGGGAACCACAGTATGAGGGATTAAGCACCACGCCTTTGAGAAATATTTACATTTTCCTGTGGGACCCTAGAAGACTGCAAAGGCTTCAGAATCCAAAGAAATTCATCGCGACTGCTGTAATCTGAGAGGAGGCACTATATTTGGGGAGAAAAAGTTATGGGATGGGAGAGCAGGAACCCCTTTCATCAAAGAAAGAAAGAAAGCGTTTGCCTTTCTAACTGAAGAGTCAGCTTTGATCCTGACTTCATTAAGTAACCCCATGATGCAGCCACAAAAATTCCTTTCCATTTTATCCATGAGAAAAATGACTTACCCATTCCAAGTGTACTTCCAGAGCAAGTTACTGCAATGAAAATACAAGCACTTAAAATATATTTATTGATATATTTAAGATGGTGAAGACATAACTTAAGAAAGAATAATAGTGAAGTAAACCAAAGAATTAATAAGAACAAACGGGTGAGAAGGGGAGATACTTCCTAGCAGTATGACCTTGGGCAATCACTTCACTATGCCTCAGTTTATCTGTAAAGTGGTAAAAATAAGAATGCCAACCTCAGTGGTTTGTTATAAGGATTAATTGGAGTTAATACATGTAAAGCCCTTAGGATAGTGCGTGGCACATAGAATTCAATATCAGCCATTATTATCATTTATAATATTGTCCTGATTATCAGAGTAAGTCACCACTTATATGTCAGAAAACAAACAAACAAAAACAAAAGACTTCTCCCAAATGCATGGTTTTACCAGGGAGACTGAAGCAAAGGAGGATTTCCTAACTCGAGTCTGGACACCTAGTCCTCACCAAGCTGAAAGGCTGCAGGCTTGAGATGACACCCCACCTAAGGGTATCAGAGTTCTAACGATGGCTAGGCATTGTGGCTCACGCCTGTAATCCTAGCACTCTGGGAGGCCGAGATGGGAGGATCACTTGAGGTCAGGAGTTCAAGACCAGCCTCAGCAAAAGCAAGACCCCGTCTCTACTAAGAATAGAAAGAAATTAGCCAGACAACTAAAAATAGAAAAAATTAGCTGGGCATGGTAGCACATACCTGTAGTCCCAGCTACTTGGGAGGCTGAGGCAGGAGGATCACTTGAGCCCAGGAGTTTGAGGTTGGCTGAGAGCTAGGCTGACTCCACAGCACTCTAGCCCAGGCACAGAGTGAGACTATGTTTCAAAAAAAAAAAAAGAGTTCTAACTCACAAGGACTTCTGGTGGCTAACAAGCCATCAGAGGAATAACTCTCTAAGTGTTGAATTGTGGGCAAGGAGCAGGAGAAAGAACAGAAGACTTCCATCACTCAGCTGTATGATCATAGGCACATAAACAAAACATACTGGGCAACAGTTATGTGCTAAGTACTGAGAGTCAGAGAGACCATCACTTATTAGGAGAAAGAACACACATTCGATTCATAGTAATATGTTCAGTAAAGACAAGGGTGCTGTAGGTTCATAAAGGAGGGAGGGAAAGGGCTAACTCAGCTCATGAGAATTGGAGAGGGCTTCACAGACGAGGAAAAATTGGGCTGGCAACTTCTCTTGGTGAAGTGGGTTGGAATTCCAGGCGAAGAGAAGAGCACTGCAGTGGCTTGGGAACATGATGGGAAGTGTGTGTGGCTGGGACAGGCGTGTATGATTCCACGAGACTAGACTACAGAATCGAGTCCTCTGAGGAAGGGTGCTGTGGAATGCACCTAGAATTTCTCTGCCCAATACAGTAGCCACTCAAGTAGCTACTGGGCACTCAAAATGTGGCTAGTCTGAACTAAGATGTGGTATAAGTACAAAATGCAGAGTGGATTTCGAAGACTTAGTATGAAAAAAGCAAAATATCTTATTATTAGTAATAACTTCCATATTGATTAGATGTTGACATGATAACATTTTGGATATGTTGGGATAACTAAAATCTATTATTAAATCAATTTTTTTCTTGTTTCTTTTTAAATGTGGCTATTAGAAAATTAAATTTTTCATCCATGGCTCACAGTAAATTTCTGTTGGACAGCGCAAGCCCAGATAGACAGGGGACAGATTGTGAGGGACCTTAAATGCCATGCTGAGAGGATTGAATTTTATCCTATGGACCAGTGGAAGACTTTTGAAGATATGGAAGCATAAAAGTAACACAACTGCATCAGTGTTCTAGAATGACAATGTTGTTAATAGTATGGAGGCCAGAGGGAGGGCAGGAATATAGGACGGTGCAGTAGTCTGGGGGAGAGGTGCGAGGGCCTGAAGCAAGGCAGTAACTGTGGGAATGAGGAGAAGCAGCTGGATTTAGGAACCACAGTGAAGGTGAACAGGTCAGGACTTGGAGATTACTTAGATATAGAGGGTGAGAGAGAGGAAAGCGAACTCCAGAGTTTTCATCCTGAAACAAGGATGATGGGAGGAAGATCAGAAATAGCAGAGGATCAGGAGTTCCTTTTGGCCCAGAGGAGTTTGAATACGGCTTAGAAGAGGTTAAGAGAAGGGTTGTAGATAGAGATTTGGGCCTCAGTTTTCTCATTTGTAGAAATAATAAAATCCGTTGAGCATACATCATACGGTTATGTTGAGCATTCAATAAGATATTGAATGTGAAGATATTGAATGTGAAAACACTTGATGAATTATAAAATGTTATGTAGGTGCGATGAAATATTGTTATTGAGCTGTAGATGCTTCTTCCTAAGAGCTCATCCTCACCCCAAGAACCCATTCCTGTCCCTTCCCACAGGGCTATGCTTAGGCCAGCTTGCCCTGTGGACAAGATAATGAAAAAACAAGGAATCAGAGCGTGACAGCCAAGGACAATGAAAATGCTCCCGCAGGAGGAACTGGCCTCGTTCTATCACTAAGAGCCATCCTGAACCTCTTGTCACCTAGATATAATTAGAAATTTTAGATTCTGGTTATCAGTAAAAGTTTGTGAGCCAATACTTATTCCTCTTTCTGTGTTCATCTGCAAAGTTCTAGGGCTTAATCATCTCTTTTCTTTTAGAAATGTACAAAAAATGTAGGACTATGCTCTGGGCAAAGTAGCAGAAGGTGCTGGAATACAGAGCAGGAGAATTGCTAATGTTTTCTGCCCGCTCTGGTGAGATGGCAGTTGCTGACAGCCGTGTTTTGTGATCACACACTGTCTGCCCACTCACAACTCCAAACCTAGCTTATGATTTATAAATTCATTTTTTCAGATCCTCCAACTTTTCCTCAGTCATAATTCTTAATATGAGCAAATAAAAGTTCAAGTCTCTTAATTTCCAGCATCCCAAGATGTCTATCATTATCTCTAAGACTATGTTAAAAATCTGTCCCCAAATCTCTGAGCAGAAAATCACTTTAAATTATGCTTTACTATTTTAAACAACAAGCATCTAGTCCTTTTTAGGAAGGAGAAGAGAGAGGGAAGAGAAGAGCATCTCCAAATTAAATAATAATAAAGCATCACAATTCCAAAGAAACTTTCGGTTTCCCACAGCCAGAGTATGTCTGCGGCATGTAGAAATTTCACACTCTCTTTGCCCTTCCTACATAGCGAATAAGTGAGATTGTTCTGAGTCTTAATTCACAGGTCTGAGTTGAGGGTTAGTTTTAGATAAACTGTCATAACTTGTTTTACCTGAATATATTTTTTTTGGACAGAAAGTAAGCTTCAGTCCTGTTTCAGCAACTGGTGAGACCATCACAGTGTATACATCCCCACAGGGGATCTCGGTGATATCACAGAAACTGAGGCCAGCACTTGGGGCACACGTGAAAATGCCTTTGGAGCCATAGAGGTCGGTGCTGTAATTGGCAGAGCCCCTGGAGGCTTGCCAGTAGATCCGGATGCCATTAGGGCCCAGCCTGTATAACTTCACCCCCAAAGGGCAGCAGGCACCTGTAGGATAAAACACAAAAAACGCAAAATCACTTCTTCCACCTTCACACAAACATGGCCTTGATTACTGCAGGGAAAAATAATGTAAGTAAACTATTCCAAACAACATGATTAATTACTGGTTAGAGCAAGATTCGAAGGGGTACTCAAGCTCTTTCCATGGTGGGCTGCATGATCAGAGATCCATGTGTGGAGGTGGTGTGGGTATGCATTTTTAGTATAAAACAATGGTGAGTCTAAAAGGTCCACATTTGGCAGATACATACTGTACATGACTCAAACTATGAGTCAAAGGCACAGAACACTTGTCAAGATCCCTCATCATGCCCTAGTTTCATTTTATTTTGGTGGGATTAAGTTTAAATATTATATAATTAATTGCATTCAGCTTTAATTGAAAAAACTATTTTTACTGAGCTGAGTAGCATGATGCCTTGGAAACAACCCCTCACTCAACAGTCTGGTGACCACGTTTGCTGGTCCACACTTCATCCATGCTAGCTGATTAGGTATTTTTTTTTCCCTTTCCTAAACACCTTGAGCAGGTCACACATTAGGTGTCAAGCTGGGCACCAAATGGTAGATTCCTCAGTAACTAAAATGATACTGTATAATTAGAATAAGCAATGGGACATATTCCCAGCAGAACTGGGTATCGAGGAGAGAACTTAGGCAGCAAATCTAATGAAAAATAATAGGCCAAAAGAAAGTATAAAGCAGCTGACATATGTGCAGCACTTTATGAATGCTTTCACATTATAATTTATTATGATTCTCAAAACAACTTTGAAGGATAAGCTGGGAAGATATTATCCCTATTTTTTCTTACCAATGAGGAGACAAAATTAGGGAAGATAAGGCAACACAGCTTATAAGAAGCCATGTCTAATTTAGACTCCCAGGTAAGACTCTGCTACCTCTGGGATGCCAAAATTATATTTTCAACTCTCCCATGACTAACTAATCATGCCTCAGGCAGACATAACTAACTGATCATTATGCTCCTTCCACTTAATCCTGGGAGGCATCCTCAGGAGGTTTTTTGAAAACAGTGCTCTAAGCAGCCACTTCAGTGGATTAGAATCATGCAAGAGGAATCTTATTTGCTAGCCCGACATTGCTTTCCCTTCCCCTGCTATTCCCTAATGGTTTATTCTTTGTGAAGAACGAGGTACAATATATCAGTAGACAGATGCCTTTGCTCTTTTAGTCTGTTGAAGTAAGAAACCATTGAAGGGGACTGGAGAGGCTTAGACAGAAAGGTAGTAGCTTAATAATAATGGGAAGGAAAGAATCCAAACCAAATAGAATGTGTGATCTAATGCTTTCTGAAAACTCTGCCAGGTTGAATTACTTTGTGTTGCAGGTAGCCATGTCATATAAAGATACATCATCACTTCAGAAAAAGTATTAATATACCTGAATATTGTTACAGAGGGAGTTAATTCACCAACTACCAACAGAAGCCTCTGAAGCTTTGAGGTTCTAAGTCAAGAGGAAAATTATAAACATTTTAGAAAGTAGTCTGAATTTATAATGCAAGCTAGGTGGAGATGCAGCATCTTTTTAAATGAGAAGGAAGGGCTTATGCCTGGATTTATAATAAAGTCCCTACCAATACTCTTGAGCTAGAGTTTAGAGTTCACTTACTAGGAGAATAACTTTGGTGGGCGCAGTCCGCAGTCAACCCAGTGGCACTAATTGCTTTTAATGTCACTGTGTAGTTGACGCCACATGTGATGCATCCCAGGAGGCAGTGGTTTTGATGAGTGTGACACTTAGACTGTCCAGTGTGTGACTCCAAAACTGTCACATAGGTTTGGGCCACCGTCCCAATAGTCCAGCTCATGTTGATTACTGACTGGGTGATTTGAGTTACTGTCAGACCAGCTGGACAGCATGGCACTTAAATGGGATAAAAGAAAGAGAATTAGGGATTTATTTCCACTCAATATTATTTGCGAAAAAAATGCCTGCATTTTGCTCAATGTCCTACATTTCTCAAACTTTCAGTTGTTAATCAAAAATGTTTTCCTGTTCACACCCTCTGACACATCACGTAACATCAACTATGTATAGTGGGTGCTTTCCCTAAGAATGCACTGCACTAACTGGCTATTGGTAATTGGTATTGAAGTTTCCCCCATTTTTTTCAGATAAGAAATAAATCCTGGCCGGCGCGGTGGCTCACGCCTGTAATCCTAGCACTCTGGGAGGCCGAGGCGGGTGGATTGTTTGAGCTCAGGAGTTCGAAACCAGCCTGAGCAAGAGTGAGACCCTGTCTCTACTAAAAATACAAAGAAATTAATCGGACAACTAAAAATATATAGAAAACATTAGCCGGGCATGGTGGCGCATGCCTGTAGTCCCAGCTACTCGGGAGGCTGAGGCAGGAGGATGCTTGAGCCCAGGAGTTGGAGGTTGCTGTGAGCTAGGCTGACGCCACGGCACTCTGGCCCAGGCAAGAGAGTGAGACTCTGTCTCAAAAAAAAGAAATAAATAAAAGCTTGATCTCTTAGCCACCTAAGATACCATTAGCTGACTCAATTTTTTAGGGACCCACTATATAGGATACAGGATGCCTAGAATCTTTGTGTGTACAGTATTTGGTGTTGTCTCTATTCTGCTGCCTTTTTATAGGTGTTTGAACCGCTGAATTTTTTTTTTTTTTGGAGACTGGATCTCACTCTGTCACCCAGGCTGGAGTACAGTGGCATTACCACAGCTCACTGCAGCCTCAAACTCCTTGCCTCAAGTGACCCTCCCTCCTCAACCTTCGAAGTAGCTGGGATTATAGGCACAAGCCACTGTGCCCGGCTAGGTATTTCAACTTTTATAGTCTGAAGTGCCATCTATCATTGTATATAAGAGAAAATAATTTCCAAAGGCTTTAAGTAATTTGCTAAACTTCGTTCACACACAGTGCTGTGAAGAAAATAATGGTTTTCTTTTCTGGGGCTCTTACTATGCGTTAGGCACTACTGCTAAATGCTTGGCAGTATTAACTTAATCCTCATAACCACCCTATGAGGCCATTACCCCCTTTTACCGATTAGGAAACTGAAACTCAGCATTTTTTACAGAAAGATTCGAAAGGGCTGAGCCAAGTACTAAATAATAAACCAACTCATTTAGTTACTTGTTTGTTAGCTGTTTTGATAGATTGTATCATGGGGGAATATAAATTCAAATAACTGTTTTGCAGAGTTAATACATTCCTCCTCTGATGCTAATGTATGGATATACTAGAGCTTTTTGATGACATTTTTACAGAACCTGTAAAATGTTGAAAGTTTTATTTTCAACTCCAGGGCTCTTTGAAAAGTCTCTGAGTTTAATGTATTTCTATCACACTGAGGGAAGATTAAATTTAAAAGTTCACATCTTAAAACAATTCCTAAGGACCCTGCTGAAGTCAACATTCAGGCTGGTGGCTGCTACATACCAGTTTCCAGGGGCACACTGTAGCTGGGCAGGCTCCGTCCTGCCTGCGTCTCAGCCACAGCGGTGACAGAGAACAGCGAGCCGCAGGGCAGGGCGCCCATGGTACAGGACTCGCCTGTGCTGCTGCACTGGTACAGCCCTGTCTCCCCCTGGGCAGTGACTGTGTAAGTAGCGCCATCGTTAGTGGATCTCCAGTGCACCTGAATCATGGAGGATGCATCTTTCGAAACATTTATTTCAGGACTGCAGGGAGCTAAGAGATTTTAATTGAAATAGCATGAGTCAAAAACATCACACGTGTCATTTGGTCTAAAACTGATTTTTTCCCCCAATGAGATCATCAGAATTTCAACCATACCATGCATGTAGGCTAAATTCATAGTGCCTATGTGTGGAAAACTGTTGACGTTGACATAGGGCATTGGGTTCCTATAGTATGGGACTAACTGGGAACTGTTAGTCCCAAAAGTACATAAGACATACATTTGCAAATGGTGTAAATACGAGCAGGCCCCTCGAAGGAAGGAGGAACCAAACAGCTAAGACCATCGCTAGCAAAATCTCCCATTGTCCCCATGGTCTCCTTTTGTTTTCATTTTTCCCACTTTCCTCTTCCACCTTCTTCTCCACCTCTCCTTAGTACAACAGGGGCTCTATTGGTCCCCGCAAAGAGTGGTTAATGGGATTTCACCTTTTTATAGGTCTTGCTGAATGCCCATCCCGAGGTGCATAGCTGGGTGAGTCATTCAGACGTCAGCGAATGAAATCACAGCAGTACTGTACCTGTGGTTATAAACTGGGAAGTACATGACATGTTGCTGCCCCTGACTTCGCTGAAAGAATACACCGTGATGTTGTACTTGGTGTCACACTCCAGAGCCGAAAGGGTGCAAGCAGGAGCGGTGTCGTTGCACTCGACCACGTTGTACCCATCTACGGCCTTGGTTTCATAGAGTTCGGCACCACGGACAGGAGACCAGACAATCTCTACTCTGTCACTGGACACCAACACGGGGCTAATGTCACTAGGACAGCAGGGAGCTGAAAGCAGGAGCAGAGAGAGAATGGAGGTCTGTAGGGGAACAATTCGGGGAGTGATGGCGGGGACCGAGTCTTGACCTCCCCATGCCCAGAGTCTCTGCCACTGCCCTCCTAAACTAGTGTAGTAACCTCCAACAGGTCTGCCCAGGTCCAGTCCCTGCATAGAGGATAAATCCTCAGCAGGACATTCGAGGCTGTTACAAGCTGCACCTCCCCCCACCCCCTGCCACACCAGACTCCTCAATTCCCCGCCCCACCCGTGCTCTCATTTCTCTGTGCCTTGAAGACTGCTGACCCCACTACTGGAAAAGCTTTTCCCTCTTCCGGCTGACAAAAGCATATGTAGTCTGACCTCTCAGATCCTGTCAGTCTTTCCAGGCACTAAACCAAGATGAAGCTGGGGGCAGGGGGAAGCATAATTGTATGAGTAGATCTTAGAAGACACCCTAAAGAACCCCATGGACAAACGTCTAACTCAGCTTGGAGTTTCCCTGGGACGCTCTTGTCCCACCCACCTTCCATCCATCCTGGAGGACCCAGTTCAAGGCCACTCCCTCTGCAAGGCCCTCCTGCGTTCTTGAGACGCCCTACTCCAAATTCCAAAGTCACCAACTATTTAGATCCCTCATCCTAGTAAAATTTATTGTAATCCAGCTAGTACTTTTATATAACTGTATTAGAATATTCTTGTTTGTAAATGTGGTTAATTAATTTCAAACCACTGTCTCCATTCATTCTTTAAAAATCAAGCATCTCCCATATGCTGATCACATTGTGACAAACACTGAAGATGAAGAGATAAATAAAACATAATCCCTGCCCTGCACAAAATCCAAGACTAGTGGAGGAAAATAATAGTAACAGTAATAATGATGCTAATAAAAATATTTGCATCATGCCTTATCACATACAAAGGCCTTTCACATTCATGGTCTCATTATTATTTGTCCCATTTTGCAGTAGAACATATGAGGAACCAGTGAGGTGGACATCATTATCCCCACTGTGGAAATGAGTTAGTGGTCAAGTTAGGACTTAAACCCAGGTATTCTACTCCAGAGCCCTCCTCACCACGTAGCATTTTGGCCATTGCATCTCTGTTTCTGGGTCTCAGGGAGAGTGAACTGCTGAAATGCAAGAACTACATCCCCTCAGCATGCAGCACAGGCTAGAACACTGAGTGCATCTTTGTGCAGAGCCCAATTTTTCAGAGCAGGGTTGAACAACTACATTCTTTCCCCTTTTTTCACTCCTAAACTTTGCATGCCTGTTAAGCTTGGGTCCAGGATACCAAAATTTCCTAGCCTGGAAAAAAATGTGAGATAAGAGATTCATTTTCTGTTCTTGGCCCTAGAATGATTCCCAGGTGGTAAGTCAACAAGTGCAATAGGTGATCCATTCTGCTGCTGAGTTTAGTGAGCTCAGAACTCCCTTCACAAGCATCACATGTGACTTACCCGTGGTATAATTGAATATGTCACCCAAAGGACTCTGTCCTGCCTTGTTATAGGCAAAAACACTAATAAAGTAAGTGAAGCCACACTCAGATAGGAAATTGCACTGGGTAAGGGATGTGTTGCAATGTGCTTCCAAGCCATCATCACTCTTCACGAAGGCCACATAGTAATCACCCAGATCTACATGGGACCAAGCCACAGACAGGTGACCAGGGGGATCTTCTTGGATTATCACTCTTCCAGGTGCACAAGCAACTAGGAGATATCAATAATAAGCAGTTGTGAGACTACTGCACGAGATTTTCTTTGCATTTTTGCAATTATCCAAGATTTTAAGACAACCCAAATCATCAACTTTGAGCTTTGTAACAGATTGAATTTGATACGTGATATGCAAAACTATAAACCAGAAGCATTAGAAGATTTTCTTTATGGAACCAAGGGCTATGCTATAGGCCCCAAAACACTACAACAAATTCCAATGACTTCTCCGCACTCTCTTGTTATTTGAAATATTGTTTGAAATAATGAGCACCATCAGGGTTTGATAGTCATTTTAAGATGTGGGGATTTTCATTGTTAGAGTATTTGTTGAAAGATTTGGCTTTATCCAGAGATGAAACCAGTCTGGCCTGAAGGGAATAATGGATATCTCCGAAGTTATGTTTTAGAGACAAAAATATAGCCATCATTCATCGTATTTTCTATTGACACTTTCTCTAATTCTTCAAGCAAACCAAGGAGACATTCTCAGATGTCTTAAAATTTATCTCCTACAATACATGCACTAGACCATGTCAGAAATAGGCACGGATCACCTTGGTTAATCTGCCTGTTTTTCTGTTAAGCCAGTGCCTCATTTACCCAGGATCAGCGTGAAGTGAAGTCTTCTGAAAGAATGAATTCAAATAAAGTTTATTCATTCAAGCCCCAAGCTTTTAAAATTTTAGTCATCTCTAATGGAAGTCTTCCTAAAATACATTTCTGGGCCCCAGGAAATACACGTACTTTCTAAACATAGTTCTTTTACTGATAAGTCAAGGTCATTCCCGTGGTCTTGACTGTGTTATACACAAACTACATTAGTACCTCCTGGACCCCTAAGTGTGCAGGACTGTTTCAGTGGCACTTAACCCGGACTGCACATTAGATCAACTGGGGAGCTTTTATAAACTGTTCACGTCCAGACTCTCTTCCCAGCAATTCCAATTTAATTGGTCTTGGGTACCAATTAGGTCCTTGGGTATCAGCAGGTTATAAAAGCTCCTGAGGTGCTCTTAATGTGCACCCAAGATGGAAAAACACTGCGTGGTTCTCTCCTACATTAAATGACTAACTTGGAACTGCTGTGCTTTTGAACGTATTTCTTATCTATGTTCCCTCACTCTCAGCTACCCTGCCCTCATAACCACTCCTAAAGTCCCATCCACATTAAATTGCAGTTGTCAAAAGAGAAGCCAAATCACCAAGTTTGTTATCAGTGACCTTAATTTAGCATACCCCTAAGAAACTGTGGGTCTGAAGGATTAGGCTGTATTTTTCCCCCCATGGAATAGAGTGTATCAGCTTGGTGACAGCTTCTTTTCTCTCTGCTCAGAAGCCTCTTAAACTTAGAATGACATAATTTCTGACTATCGGATAAAGTGGATGTTATTGGCCGGTGCAGTGGCTCACGCCTGTAATCCTAGCACTCTGGGAGGCCGAGGCGGGCGGATGGTTTGAGCTCAGGAGTTCGAGACCAGCCTGAGCAAGAGCAAGACCCCCGTCTCTACTAAAAATAGAGAGAAATTATCTGGACAACTAAAAATATATAGAAAAAAATTAGCCGGGCATGGTGGCGCATGCCTGTAGTCCCAGCTACTCGGGAGGCTGAGGCAGAAGGATTGCTTGAGCCCAGGAGGTTTGTTTTTTTTTTTTTTGAGACAGAGTCTCACTCTGTTGCCCTGGCTAGAGTGAGTGCCGTGGCGTCAGCCTAGCTCACAGCAACCTCAGACACCTGGGCTCAAGCAATGCTCCTGCCTCAGCCTCCCGAGTAGCTGGGACTACAGGCATGCGCCACCATGCTCGGCTAATTTTTTCTATATATTTTTAGTTGTCCAGATAATTTCTTTCTATTTTTTTTTTTTAGTAGAGACGGAGGGGGGTGGGTCTCGCTCTTGCTCAGGCTGGTCTCGAACTCCTGAGCTCAAACCATCTGCCCGCCTCGGCCTCCCAGAGTGCTAGGATTACAGGCGTGAGCCACCGCGCCTGGCCCCGAGCCCAGGGGTCTGAGGTTGCTGTGAGCTAGGTTGACGCCACGGCACTCTAGTCCAGAGCAACAGAGCAAGACTCTGTCTCAAAAAAAATAAAAAATAAAGTGGATTTTACCCAGATTTTCTTTGGCTTAGAGGATTGAAATCAGGCAAACTTGAGCTTGAATCCCAGCTCTACCACTTATTGTCAGCGTGTCCTTGGGAAAATTATTTAACCTGAGCTTTAATTTCCTTATCTGAGAAAAGAGATAATAGACCCTACCTCACTGAGTTGTAATGAGAATTAAATAAGATAACGTGTTTGTAGTACCTGAGACAGGGTAGATCTCCACCAAATGTTAGTTTCCATCCCCAAAACATATAGATATTTCTAGTATAACATTTTTTTAATTTACAAAATTTTATTGCCCTTCTTCTGCTTCAGGATTTTTTTTTCTTTTTATTAAATAGATATTTCTAAATAGAGGAATAAACCTCCACATATATATGCATTTATCTCTCTGATAAGAATGAAAAGGGGAAAAATCTAAACACATATTCGGAACTAGAAATATCCTATCTTTATTTTAAAAATTAGCTCCCTCCAGGCCTAGATCATGAAGCACGATGTAAAGAAGAGGCAGTTAGCAATACTGCTCAGTTAGAGCTGTTTATAACTCAAACTGGATCTTAAAATTTTTACAACTTCACAAATGTTAATTAATGAAAATCTGGGATAGGAGCCAGGCCTCCTAATTTTCAAAGAAATGCTTTTTTGCAATGCACAATATCTGGTTTCACTGTCAACATTATTCAAACTCATCAGAATGTCCAACTCAAAGCTTTCATTTAGACCAGGCTTTCGTTTTCACTCATTCCAGAGTGTTCTGGAACACTCTCAGGGATTGTCTGTTTCCCTTATGGCAGTCACTTTGACTTGCCAGCCCCACAGCCATCTCACTCTTGTTTACATACCGGTTTTCAGGGTCACGGCTGAAGATGATTTGCTAGATCCAGCATCATTACTTGCTAAAACTGAAATCAGGTACTCAGTTCCACACTGGAGGGAGGAGATGGTGCAGGAACTGAAAGCTGTACTACAGCTCAGTTCTGAAGAGTCACTCAAAGCCATCACGGTATAGTTGAAAGCTCCTTCTGTTGGTACCCATGAGAAAGACGCCTTCAGAGCCCCACTATCAAAAGAGACTTGAATGTTGGCAGGGGCACGAGGACCTACATTTTTGAGAAACAGTTAAGACTTTTGTTATAACCTCAAGAACCCAAGTAAGTATTGGCCTAACAATATTGCAGAGCACAGAGGATAGGGTATCCCAATAGTTGGATAATTACAAATGTTCAAAGCATAAAACTTGGACACAACCAGTTCTTTGAATGTAGGAATTGTGCTTTATTTGATTTTTGTATTCCCATCAGCTAACCTATGCCCAAGCATATAGTGGGCCCTGAGTGAATGTTTGGGCAGAGAGAGAAAGAGAGAGAGAGAAGGAAAAAGAAAAGAAAGAGAAGTATTATAAAAGGCAAGCCCTTCTCTTCTCCCTATATATCTGCCTTGTCCTATTGACAATGGGGCTTCCATTCCCTTCCAAACTTAGGAGAAGTTGGAGAGAACATTTCTGGTTTCTTTCCACCCTTTCCTTGGTCTTCCCCAAGGGATGAAACAGCTAATCTGGTTGGTGAGAGTCTGGTATCTATTTAGGTTACATTACCAGTGGATGGTTTACTCTGTCTCAAGAGAATTAAAAACAAGAATTAAAAACAGATCTTTCTGCTCAAACATAAGCTACTGTACAAAAGAAAAAAAACAAAAAACAAAAAACATCACTCTCTCTCTTCCCCCGCCCCTTGTCTCTCTCTCTCCCCCTCACTCCAGCAGCTCAGTCTGGACTTACAGCTACTCCGCTGCAGGATGCCTGGGGCAGGTTGTCCCTGGGTGTGGGTGGAGAGAGAATACACATCATGCTCCAGCTTCTCCCCGACTGCAGGAGAGGTGGTGGGAAGCCCCACGTCAGCCTCAGGCCTCAGTTGAGGACTTGGGAAATAGATCTGAAACACTGATTCCTACCAAGCATAAAGCACCATGACTGCTGGAACCTTACTTTGTTTGCTGCTGTATCTCTAGAACAAAGCCAGCTCAAAGTTGGCACATACTCACTCAATGTCCACCGAATAAGTGAATTCCTGTTTGGCCCAATTCTCTATGTTTATACTATTGGCCTGAACTCAGGAAGGGACAAGGGGTGATTGGTAAACCTAACAAGAATCATCTCCTCACCCCGGCAGAGTGGCTCACGCCTGTAATCTCGGCACTTTGAGAGGCCAAGGCAGGAGGATGGCTTGAGACCAGGAGTTCGAGACCAGCCTGAGCAAGAGCAAGACACTTTCTCTACAAAAAATTAGCCAGGCATGGTGGTGAGCACCTGTAGTTCCAGCTACTCGGGAGGCTGAGGCAGGAGGATCACGTGAGCTGAGGAGTTGGAGGTTACAGTGAGCTATGATGACATTACTGCCCTCTAGCCTGGGCACCAGAGTGAGACACTGTCTCAAAAAAAAAAAAAAAAAAGAATCATCTCCTTCTGTGTAATATTGAATGTGTAAGCTGAAATTGAGGTGGATGTCAGAGGGGGAGGTGCCATGCTCTATGTATTCTGAGCAACATTTATTTATGCAGAAAGCATTTAAACTACCAAGGAAGAATAGTCAAGGCACTATAAATAACTTCATAATAAATTTAAATAGCTGCTGCCAGCTGCTCTGTACTTATCATTTAACACTACTCTTGATGGCTGCAATGCACAGCCCTGCTCATTAATCAAAAATAAGATTGAGGTTGAGCTGAGAAGTTCTTACTTGTTCTCTGATTGCAGGTGGAGTCATCCCCAGGGATTCCGTTGGCATTCCACGCATAGGCCTTTATGGTGTAGAGTGTCCCGGCTTCTAAACTGTTGAATGTCAAGGAGGTGTTTGTAGTATTCTCTTTCCATATTCTACCCAAGCCATTGGCTCGCATAATGGACACGGAGAATCCAATTGCCATATACACAGCTTCCCACTGTACAAGAATAGAGTCTGAACTTGGAGAGCTGACTTCTAGAATTGGTGCAGCCAACACTAAACAGACAAAAACATGTGCATTCGTAAAAGTCCAATAGAGGATAATTCAAATTCAGGAATAAGTAAATTGAGGTTGATTACACATATCGTAAAATAATTATTTGCTTTATGAAAGAATTCACAACAGAGTTCCATTAAATAATTGCTATTTAAGAGTGTATTAATCATAAATGACTTGGCAGAGGAATGGGAAACAGAGAAAGTCTAAATATTAGGCACTACTTTCAAGTGGAATTTGGTCAGAAATTAGATAAAACATCCCTGTAATCATAATATAAACCAATGGGGGAAATGATGGATTATACTCTTTTAATGTATAACTAGCTTTTCAGAATATGCCTCGGTACAACTTTATCAAATCAATTCAGATAATGGTGCTGACAAACTCCACATGTTTTAATTCATTAACATATATGCCATGCGGTCAAGGTGCAGCAAAATGCCTTCTGTGTCCATCTGGCATGGTTAAAAACAGAAATCCCTGTTTCGGAGATTTAAAAGAAGGGGTGATTTTAAAGACGCCCAGAAATGGTCTTTTTCCAAAGCAAAGTATCTGGCATTTAAATGCCACCTCTTCCACAGATATCTGAGTTCCCAAAAAGCATCATTTGGTGGCTTTCAGTTCTGGGCCCTGAATGGCAGGCACTCACGTGACACCAAATGACGTTACGCAGTATAACTGATCCAGGTCACAAGCAAACACTCAACAGAGGATGAGCACCGAGCTACCTGTCTTTGCCTGTGTTGGAGGTGATGCCTGGCTTCTCCCAGCAGCACCGATGGATCTGACGGTGATTTGGTACAAGGTCGCAGCCTTCAGGCCCGTCACAGTTCCTGGAGAACTGGCCACCACGGTTTCAATGACCGTGTCCCCGTCTTCAGCTCTGAGGAGGTAACTGGTGGCACCTGGCACTGTAGCCCATTCTACAGTGATGCTGTTACTGATTTTTGAATATGCCTGATCAATAGTGGGTATTTCAGGAGCTGAAAGAGATTTTGAAGTTGTCCATTAGCCAGGATACCTACGAGGATTACTTCTTTCGACATCTTCTTCAAACTGAATCATTCTCGTGCCATCCTTCAGACGTAAGCTTTGCCCTTATTTTCCAGATCAAGGAAAAACAGAAAAGGAAAGGCAAAGCTACTCTCCAGAAGATATCTGGAAAGCTCAAACCTCTCATTCAGAAATGGGATTTCAAAGAGGTTTTTCCCAGTTGCCTATGAGATAATTTGCACTTTTTGTACAAACAAGAGCTAGCTAAGAATGGGAAGTGATTGTGGGAAAGAACTCTTAGAGGAGAGAGAGAATAATTGAAGGGCTTTATTCCAGAAGCTTCCACTCTAGTTTGGCATTCTGTGAATTTCCCAGGCTGCTTTGACATTGTCCCACAAATGTGCTGCACGGGCTTCCAGCTGGCGCCACCTCCACTCCCCGACCCCGGCCCAGAGGCTGCGGTCACTCTCTCAGGCACTTTGCACATTTCCCAAACAGCATTTAATCTAATGGAGGAAGGGGGGAGAATTGAGTTCTTTTTTTATAATTACTCCATGGCACTTTTTTTCATATTATGAGAGTGGAACAATTTTCAGATTCTTATATATGAAATAAAAATAAACTTTATTTTCTCTTCCTATATCAAAACGTCTGCCTCAGCATAAGAATGAGATGCTGTGGACTCCCTCACTCCGGCGTAGCCGTGGTTTACCAGGGGGATGTGAATGCTTATGCCATGAGCTTGCACAAGGCGTCCCTACACTTGGGGTATGGCGTAGGAGATTCTGCATGGGAATGAAATTTAGTGCTTTACAAAACTCCACAGACACAAAAATGTCCTGGATGTAGGAGATCCAAGTGAAAGAAAAGGTCAAATGAAAATAGCTGGGTTTTAAGTTTGAAGCTGGCACTTAGCCTTTTACATTTAATGTACTCCATTTGCTGAGTTAAATCACTAAATGCCAAATTCAAAGCTAAAGGGCAAAACAAACAAAGCTACAGGGCAAAGAGGGAGAAAGAGTAAACACAGACGTGTGATTTGCCAGCATCAACTCCCCTCCCCCACAGCCAAATCCCTGTGCGCAGATACGGACAACCTTCTCTTTCTCTACCAACAGCCCAGAGAGTTGGCTTTGGCAGCATCTCAGAAATAACCATGCTGCAAAAATGAACAAAGTCTCCACTGTGCACTGGCCAGACATTCCTTGAACATCACCCAGGAATGTCTCTTTTGCCATTAAAAGAAAATTATGACAGTTATATTTGCTGGGGGAGAGTTGCAGGCCTGCTCATCTTAGCCGTTTGCCCCAGTTACTTGTTCTATGCTATATGCCTTCTTCCCTCTGATTATCTAGTGTCTCTCAACTCCTTCTGTTTCTTCTGTCCCCACAGTAAATCTTCTCTCTTATGTTGGCCGGTCCTGCTTATTGTAACGGACCAACTTCCTGGGAAAATGACAACCAAACCAACCATAAATACAGAAGGCCTGATAGTGCATTCATGGAGCGGTCTGAAAGTCATATAAAACGCTAGCATGACACAACTATCTCCCCACAGGCCTGTCACGGGGCCTGAGGGCTCCACAAAACTTGCCTCAATGAATTGAGTGAGGAGAGGCACATTTGCCAGGAAGGAGTATGCAGGAAGCCAGTATTAGCAGAAGGAAACTCAGGGTTGTGTGGTAGCAAAAGAGCAAAGGATTTGGGTTCAGGAACTCTGGGTGTGAGCCCTGCTCTGCCATTTACTTTTTTTTTTTCCAAATTATTATGGGAACACAATAGTTGTATATATTTATAGGGCATGTGTGAGGTCTTGATACAGGCATACAATGTATAATAATCAAATCAGGGTATTTGGGGTATCCATCACCTCAAGCATTTATCATTTCTTTGTGTTGGGAACATTCCAATTCTACTCTTTTAGTTATTTTAAAGTATTATCATAACTTATTGTTGACTGTAGCCACTTTGTTGTGCTACCAAATATTGTTCATTCTGTCTGTCTAATTATACTTTTGCACCCATTAACCATCCTCACTTTATCCTCCCTCCTGCTACCCTTCCCAGCCTCTGATAACCATCATTCTACTCCCTGTCTCCAATGAGATCAAATTTTTTAATATTTAGCTCCCACATATGAGCAAGAACAATCTGCCTTTTACCTTTGTGTGTGAGCACGTGCAAGTCATGTAATCTCTTCTAGTCTCAGTTTTTTCCCTTGAGAAACGTGGAATAGTAATAATACCTACATAATAGGATTTACATTAAAATGTAAAATATCTGCATTTTAGGATTGTTGTAAAGATTAAGTGAAATAGAGTATGTAAGTGCATTTTGAAAGTGTGCACACGTGTGTTGTGTGTGTGTGTGTGTGTGTGTGTGTGAGACAAGTAAGTTTTGATGGGTTTGGGAAAGCCAAGCCGTATGGCTCTGCCGTGGAGGGCGCCAGTGACAGTGAGATTCTGGGGAGCGTGGGACAAGCAGGGGCTGGAGAGACAGATCCCCTGTTCTACACTCGGTCCCAGGACAGGCTCTGACCAGCACCAGCGATGAACACCTTTGTGCTATGTTCCCCTTTAAGAGATGAAAAGCGTGCATGTAAGGCTGCATGAAGTAGCAGCAGTTCCTTACTCTTCCTTACTTCGATGTTTAGCCCGCTTACTGGATTGATGAAAGAGAAACGATTATTCCCTAGTTGTGCAGCTAACCACTCTGATCAGTCAAAATGAAACCCTTCAATTCCCAGCACCTGTGCATTCTACCAACTGAGAGAGATCTAAATTAGCCCATGAGACCACCGTGGCCAACACAGATAAATAGCGATGCCAGAGCCCAAAGAAAATCAAAATACACACACCCCAAATAAAACTTCCTCTGCAGGCCGGGCACGGTGGCTCATGCCTGTAATCCTAGCTCTCTGGGAGGCCAAGGCGGGCGGATTGTTTGAGCTCAGGAGTTCGAAACCAGCCTGAGCAAGAGCGAGACCCCCGTCTCTACTAAAATTAGAAAGAAATTAATTGGACAACTAAAAATACATAGAAAAAATTAGCCGGGCATGGTGGCGCATGCCTGTAGTCCCAGCTACTCGGGAGGCTGAGGCAGGAGGATCGCTTGAGCCCAGGAGTTTGAGGTTGCTGTGAGCTAGGACGCCACGGCACTCTAGCCAGGGCAAAAGAGTGAGACTCTGTTTCAGAGAAAAAAAAAAACTTCCTATGCAGCATAAATGAAATACGTCCCGTCTATTGAAAAGCCAGGACAACTCAATGAACAGCATCTCAGCCTGACCCACCCTTTCTCTTGAAGAGTGTCAGTGCTCTGGGGACTAAAATGGGGCCTGTTCTGAGAACTTAGTGTTCCCTGGTGAGCTGGGACCTTGTAGGAGACAATAGGGCTAGATTTTTGTCCACCCAAAGGCCATTTATTAAAAAAGTCACTTCGTATATGGCCAAGCAGTCCTTCCCATAGCTTCCTGACCAATCCTGAAGGTCTCTCGAGAATAAGATAAGTGAATAAAACAGGAAATAATAATTTTTAAAAACCTATATATGCACGGATTTTATGAAATTTTATGGCTTTGCCATGTCTATATATCAAATTCTAAAATTGTCTTAATACTACTTCCTTTTCTTTGGTGCAGATGAAATAATAAATTAAAAATATTCTAATTTATGTTGAATCACTATGAGAGTTTATTGGTGATATAGTTGACATTATATGATTCCCATAGATAATCTAAATCCTATTAAATATAAATTTCTATCCAGGGACTTAGATTTCTATAATAGAATGAATGAACCATGAAAGGGCTCTAAAGAAATTATTTTTGCCTTCAGTCATTTATTAAAGAAAAATGGTGATCAAATCTTTTTTTAAAAAAAAACCCCTTTTCAGCTATGAGTAACCATCATCTGTATTTTAAATAAGCAATATAGAAGTGTAAAGTCCTTTTTTGATCAATGTACGGAATCTTCACAATTCAATCAAATACAACATTTCTAGTTTTCTCGTCTAATTCCCCAGACATCTAAGAAAAGTTATATAAATTAGTCTCCTCACTAAGATTTTATTTCTTTGGCTAGAAAGATGATCATTGTAATATTTTACTCATGGCTAACTGTGTATGAGAAAATGCATGGCTACATGACTCTATATGTTACAGTACTCAATAAGAATACTTTACAAGGACTTGTCTTTTAAGTTTGATGTATTGACTTGTCTTACCAGTTATCATCTATCTCCCCTGCACCAGATATATGGCTATCACCCAGTGTGAGTGCTTAGAAAATGTTGAATTTTTTTCCTGGTATAGCCTTTATATTTCAGGGCAGCCCATGAATTAAAAATGGAAATTAAAATCAAATATGGGGAGAAAAAACTTGCATGTTAGAAAAGTTTACCTGTTTTTGCTGAAGCAACCTGAAAAGAAAAGTTTAGAAAATTAGAACCATGAAGAAAAACACACTTTGGGAAAGGTAAAATATAAATCAGAGCAGTAGCAAATTAATCGCAACATTTTTATACCTAAAGTGAGTACTCTTTCAATCCATGCAAGTATTTATCTGTACAAATAATTTCCCAACACTCAAATCTACCACAAAGAACCCTAAAATAGAATTTAGAGGCTGGAGACAGATCACATTACTATTTCATTTTTCCCCTTGAATCTGCCCATTGAACTAAGTCAGTAGCTGCTGACAGACTTCAGAAATCTTTGTTCCTAAAATATAATGATAATCTTGTTTTCTTTCTTTAGTATATCATTTTAAATCTCAAACATGCAAACTCATACAATCTTGGTGCAATCCAAAAGTATTTTGACTTTTATCGCCCCACTCCCCAGCCCATCAAAAAAAAGAGAAAGACAATGAATGTGTCTTTTTTCCCCTAAATAGTTTCAGGTAGTTGGAAAGGTGAACTCACCATTTCAAGACAGATAAGACTGAATCCTATCAAAGTCAAACATTTCTCCAATCCACCAGCCATCCTGTTGGACACAGCACTCACTCACATGGCACAGAACAAAGTGATCAGGGTCCTCTTTGCTCCCCAGGAGGGCAGCGCTGTCCGCAGCTGGGATGTGAAGCTGTGACACCGGGAAGAGACCCTAGGAGCTAGCTCCTCCCCTTCAGTGTGGAGCTGACCTGTAACCAGGGGCACCTGGAGACCGGCAGGGGCAGGTACCGCAAAGACTGAAAAAAAGAAGAGAGAGAAAGCCACGCCACGCGGGCCAAAAAGCTACTGTAACCTTGGTTTCAAAGTAGTATGTAGAATGCTTTCCTTTTCTTTTAGAAATTTTTTTTTCTAAATAAAAATTTTACGAAGCTGTATAGAAAAGTGTTGATATGGTGGAATGATCATTTTAAACTTGGGGATACTGACCAGTTTTATTTTTTGTTTTTCAGCTTTATTTGTTGTTGTTCTGATTATTGTTGTTTCAATTCAAAGCGATCAGTCCTGCTATCAAGAGCAATTTGCCATAAAGCTTCTATGTGTAGGATGAAAGGGCAAGAGCCTGTCCCTGCGCTGAGAAAGATAGTGAGAGGTCCCTGGTAAGCACATTAAGTTAATCCGTCCTCAGTACCACCCTAGAGATCCAACACCTTTTATTTCCAGAGGTATTGTCCAAGTCAGGCTTTTAATAATAATTAGTGTTTAGCCCAGTTACTTGGGAGACTGAGGCAGGAGGATCACTTGAGACCAGGAGTTTGAGGCTGCAGTGTGCAATGACAGTGCTTGAGACTAGCCACTGCCCTCTAGCCTGGACAACATAACCAGATCCCATCTCTAAAAAAATAAAAATAGAAATAAATAATTAGCATTTAATCTAAGCACTATAATATATAATTCTAACAATAAACAAGTACATAAACAAGTAATAAACATACTTAACTGACTTGTCTAAAATCACACAAGTATTAAATGGTTGAGCTGGGGTTAAAATTTATCAGCCTGACCTCTGCTTCCAACCAAGAGAGAGTAAAAGAGACTGCATTTACTATACCTGACTTCAAGATTTATCATAAAGCTGCAGTAATTAAGACAGGGTAGTATTGGCATCAAGACAGACAAATGGATCAATGGAACAGAGAGTCCAAAAATAGACCCACACATATATAGACAATTGACTTTCAACACAGGTGCAAAGGCAATCCAAAGGTGAAAGGATAGACGTTTTCAATAGGTGGTGCTGGAACAATTGGATAACTATACGCAAAACCATAAACTTTGATCCATACCTCATACCATACCATGTCTGCCTGTCAGTATACATATGTTATGAATATATGCACGTGTTTTTAGATCTTGTGACCCTACAGTGAACCTGGACAGGGATTAGGAAATAATAATATATGTTCTCCTAAGTGTCAAAAAAAAAAAAGAAAGAAAAAGAAGTAAAAGATTGAGTGCTTGCTTCAGCTGCACATATACTAAAATTGAAACAATATAAGGCCGGGCGCGGTGGCTCACGCCTGTAATCCTAGCACTCTGGGAGGCCG